TGTTTTCTATTTGAATACATTTTAAAATGTAATTTATTCCTGTGATGCAAAGCTGATTTTTTTTAGCATCATTACTCCAGTCTTCAGTGTCACACGATCCTTCAGAAATCATTCTAATATTCTGATTTACTGCTCAAAAAACATTTATTATTATTATTAATAATATTTAAAACAGTTGAGAACATTTTTTCAGGATTCTTTGATCAAAGATCAGCATTTATCTGAAATAAAAAGCTTTTGTAGCATTATACAATATACCATTCAAAAGCTTGGAGTCAGTATAATTTTTTATTTGATTTATTTATTTATTTGGGGGAGGAGAAATTAGTACTTTTATTTAGCAAGGACGCTTTCAATTAAAATCAAAAGTGATGACAAAGACATTTATAATGTTACAAAAGATTTCTATTTCAGATAAATGCTGTTCTTCTGAACTTTCTATTCATCAAAGAAATCTGAAAAATTCTACTTAGCTGTTTTCAACATAATAATAATAATAATAAATGTTTTTGGAGCAGCAACTCAGAATATTAGAATGATTTCTGAAGGATCATGTTGTATTTTGGATCAAATAAATGCAGGCTTGGTGAGTAGAAGATAATTCTTTAGAAAACATTAAACATCTTACTGTTCAAAAACTTTTGACTGGTAGTGTAATAGACTAATCTTTTTTTTTTTTGAGTTTCAGAGCCAGCGTTCTTCATCCACTTTCTTTGCATGTAAGTGAACAGTATCAGTGTGAACAATATCAGCTGCAAAAACATCCAAAGATGTACATTTTAATAACAGTAATAATAGCTTATTTTCAGTGTACTATGATTTGGGATGCATGAATTAGGATGGACATTATTTAAATTTGGATTCAGCAGTATCAAGTACCTGTATGTGTTTAGAGTGAGTGTGTCTGTCTGGATGCGTGTATGAAATGCTTGTGAAATTCTATTTTCACTTCATGCTGCAAAGTGTGAATCAAAGGGAAATCAAACCTACAGACATCTCTCACATCATATACATATACTTGCGTATTTTCTCTCTCACACACACATCGTGACTCACCTCCACTGAAACAGAGACACTGTAGAAAGGTAACATTCATCATCAGTCTATCCAAAGGCGGTCAAGGGGCACTGATGGAGCTTGGAAGACACACACACCTACACAATGTGTGCACTTCTGTCTGCAACAGATATGACTGATTATAATGTTTATTTGTGTGTGTGTGGATATGTGTGTACCAACCTTTGTCTTTGCTTAGAAATGTATTTTTCAAAGTCAATCCACAAACAATAATTAGAGGAATAATATTCTGATATCTGATAACTCGGTTATACAAGGTTTATGCAAACATTAAGTATAGATAGTTCAGCAGGATGTGACAAACATGTTTTTGCATGATGAATCAGGGCTCACACATACTATATGATACATCATATGTCATCACATCTGGATTCCCATAAGGACCTAAATTTAGAAGGTTCAGTCTGTAATTTCAAGCATCATGTTCTTATGCGGAGGGTATGTTTCAGACTGAGGTTTGGCGCTCTTAGTGCAGGACATGGGATGATGTAATCAGGATGTTTTTTTTGTTTGAGTGTCAAGAGTGTGTAACCGAGGATCCTAGTTGTACTATATAGCCACTCGTGGACTCCATAAAAAAGGAATATGCTTCTGTTGTAATTCAATGAATTATTTCTAGACCTATAGAAACATGCTCTATACTCAAGCTCAGGCACTAAACAAGTGGTTCTCAACTTTTTGCTCAAAATGATATTCAAAGGTCCCCCGTAGGCTGTGATATTGCTGGTACTTCTGCTGCAAGGGCATTGCTGTTATTATTTATTGATTTATTTTTAACAGAAACTAGCAGTGTCAAAGTATTAAATAAACAAATATATTAAATATACATTGTTAAAATTAATTATGATTACAGGATAAGATTATTTTAAATTATATTTATCTCACAATTAAACATTTCTCAGCTATTACATTACTTACAAAATGTCCATTCATTATAGAAATGTCAATTAGTTTAATACATTTTTGTCATTTTCTGCAGTCTAGAAAGTACACTTTTAAAATGTCCATGCAAACCCTGGTTGTTTGCATGGTTGTTTGCAAAATGACAGTTGTAGTGAACATAGTTAAAAAATAATAATTATGTATGAATATAATTTGATACAAAAACGGAGGATGGAGTGAAAAAAACACCACAAAGAAAAGAAAGAACAGGACATGGCAAATATGGCAACATCAGCTTTAATAAGTAATATTTAAATTTGAATAAAAATGAAATATTTGAATATTGAAAATATGACATTTGTAATAGTGTGATAAAAGAAAACACATATGATTTACATATATTAAAATTGTGCATTTAAAAATTTATTTAAATTGAATTTATTCAATTGAACTTTTTATTCAATGCATTAAGTTTTGATGAAAATGTAAATTATAGTAGGAATGACTTATGTTGAGTCGTGCAGTGGCTTTGTTATTCATCATATCTGTGTAATTGTGTGTGTGGCTTCAGCTGGTGTGGAATAGTGATGTCATGACAGCCAAGTAATATGGGAGAGAGAGAGAGAGAGAGAGAGAGAGAGAGAGAGAGAGAGAGAGAGAGAGTAAAACAAGCTTCACACACATACATAGAAAGAGAGACAAATAGGGACACAGTGTGAGAGTGAAAACAAAGAGCTAAAGATCCTGAGTGGAATCTGTTAGTGTAAAAGCTCTGAGGATGACAGACAAATGGCCTAGTTAGTCGATACTGGCAGCAGCAGTGTCTCCTGTCTGTTTTTATTTCTTTTCAAACTGACATCACGACCAGAAGGGCGACTCATTTGTTTTATTGAATATCTCTATCTTTCTCTCTCACACCATCTCTATCTCAGAGGGAAATGAAAAACAAACCAAACAATAGTAGCAGAACACAAGCGGCTGTAAAGACAAACCACTGAAAGTAAAATGAGTGAAAATACACGTATATGAGCATAATTCTGTTATTGAGGGAAGTGTTTCGCAAATATTCTCATTACAGATGGACTAAAACTATTATGACATTCAACACATCCAGATTGCGTATAGGAAAGCATTGAATGATCATTTAAAATCTATTTTTCGTTACACACATACAGAGGCCACGGTGCAGCGGGGAATTATGCACATAAACACATCTCATTTGCATACACAAACGCATCTTTTTATCCATTTCACTGCGTCTCAATTGAACCGCAATTCAAAACAATTTCATGCATGAGAAGAATAGTGCGGTGACCACACGAGCCAGACAATCTTGCACACAGACCACAAGCACTCATTCAGGCCAATTTAAATAATGTGAAAACACTTTCCCAACATTCCCACATAAATATGTCCAAACTGGGTCTAAACTGATTAAGGTCTACAACCCTGTAACATTTTATTCTAGTTGATGTATATCTAAATACAGATCCATATTTATTAAGACCCTGATTTGCTGTTTTTTTTTTTTCCTGGCATGCACGTCTGGTCATGCTTATTTGTTAGGCTGGATTTAGAGGAATTTTGGACAGTTTTCAGATTTCATTTAGCCTGAGAGGTTAACTTTTTTTCCAGCATGTGTACTGTTATGTCTCTGTTAGTTCTCTTTAAATAACCAAAACAATATTTCAGGTACGGTACATGAATTATCTTAAAACTAAATATAATCCTGCGTGAAATTAATATGCTGCCAGTCACTCTTTCCAAAAGGCAGTTTGAAACCGCCGTCATTTGATGTGTTTTTCTCTTTGTGTCCATGAGGGGGCGCTAGAAATGAGGTTAGGAGGAGCTCATTAACACTTACTGAAATTCAAATAAAGGAGCATTTATCAGCTCACCTTTGCATTGACTCATTACTAATAGCTAGACAGTATTTCACAGAAACACATCCGGTTGCATTAAAGAGTAATACGTATTGCGACTGAGAAATGTG